CCAAAGTCTCTGTAAATTTTCATTGAAATGAATAATAAATTAAAAAAGAAAAAGAAAAAAATTTAAAAAACAATAAAATGTGCATAAACTGTTAAATTAAAAAAACCCAAACAAAAAGATTATATATGAAACAATAAAAGTTTAAAGGAAAAAAAAGAATGTTGGAGAGTATGTGGTAAGATAGGAACACTCATACACTGTTGGTGGGATTGTAAGACGGTACAACCACTCTGGAAGGCAGTTTTGTGCTTCTTCAGAAAGCTGAACATAGAAATTCCACATGACCCAGCTATTCCACTGCTTGGAATAGATCTAGAGAAAATGAAAACTGAGGCACAAACGGAGACTTGTACACCAATGTTCAGAGCAGCATTATTCACCATTGCAAGAACAGGCAAACTGCCCAAATGTCTAACCACGATCTAATATTGAGACATTATGATACATTCACATGATGGAATACTATGCAGCACATAGGAGCAATGATTCTGTAAATCACTACCTAACTTGGGAGGGACTGGAGAGCATTATGCTAAGTGAACTAATTCAGTCCCATAAGGGCAAATACATTGTAAGACCATTATTTTAAAAATAGAGAACTAGTAAAACACGTGAGAATCCAAGGGGAGGCAGGAGGGAGCAGAGGGGTAAGGATGGGCAGAAGGGGGCGGTAATCATAGGTCTCAAGGTTTGATGGGTGAGGGGTTTGGAGTGAAGAAGTGAGGGGATCTGGTTTGAGGGGGGTGAGCTGGGGAGGTTGGGGGGATCTGGAGTGAGGGGCCATGTGCATGAACTTTGTAGGCAGACCAGCGTAAAATGAAAAAAAAATTGCAAGAAATAATAAAAATGGAATAAGCCATTCTAGGTGATAATAATAAAAGGAAGACTCAGGATGAGATGGATTGACTCAGTGACTGGAGAAATAGGCTTAGGTCTGTCGGATTGACTCAGGATAAGGCAGGGTTCAGAATTAATGTCCATAGGGTCACTAGGAGTTGCAAGTGACTCGATGACACATAATAACAACATTCTAGAAATATCCTGGCCACAATTTGGAATTATAGGTGTAAAGGAGAAGAAACCTATCAGCATTCAGCCTAAAGCAACTTACTTTGAAAACCAAAACAAACTCATTAGGTAGAAGTGTCTTAAAGGGGTTTCAAGGCCGTGCATCTTTGTAAAAGCACATAGTCCTACCTTTCTCCCTGGGAGCAGTAGATGGGCTTGAACTGCCAGCAATTCAATTAGCGTCCAAATACTTACCCACTGTACCACCAGGTGTTTTTCAAGTTACTTTTAAAGAAACAAGAACTCTGCTGACCTCAGAAAACAACAGTAAAATACCTACAACTTTTTGGGGGGTGGAGTAGGTCAGGGGAAGATCATATCCCCAGAATTTTCTACTCAGATGAATTCCTTTAATGTGCAGGCAATTGGTAAGTAACCTCATTTCTTCAACGGTGCAAAACCTAGAGCATCTGCGTACTCCTCTTGAAAGCATTATTTGAAGGAGGGCTTCCATTTATTCTGATTTTTAACTCCTGCTGAAAAATTTTGCATTTCCACCCAACTGTACCTAATCAGAATCTACATTTAACTAGATCCTATGAATACATCAGGGGTTCTGGTAGCCTTGTGGAAAGGAGTTGTGCTGCCAATCCAAAGGCATGAGGTCAGAATCCACCAGCTGCTTCAAGGGAGAAAGGTGGGCAAGTTCCTTCATTGTGATTTACAGCATCTGAAAACCCTTTGCGGGATCAGCTATCAATTGGTTCTGACTCAATGGAGGAAAGGAGGGGGAATAGTAGTACTATACCTACATAACACCTACATAATAGTAGGTATGCCTACATAAGGTACACTGGTGGCAAAGCCTGTAGGGAGTTGTGTCGCTAACCCAAACGCCACAACACTCTGGAGGTTCGAATTCACCCGGTGAGGGAGAAAGATGGGAAGTCTCCCTATGAGCAATTTAAAGTCTCAAAACCCGAATATAGGGTCAGCTATGACCTCATCCTGACTCCACGGGAGTGAGTTTTGTGGAAACATACTTCTATATAAGGAGCTCTGATGGTGTTTGTTGTTATTGTGCCATTAAATTAAGTCCAACTCATACATGAATAGATCTGAACCCTGCCCTATCTTATGCCACCCTAATCATCTCTGACACCCTTGGGCCCATTGCTGTAGTCACTGTGTCAATCCATCTTGTTGAGGGTCTTTCTCTCTTTCACTGACCTCCCACTTTCCCAATCATGATGTCCCTTTCCAAGGATCAGGCCCTCCTCGCAACATGCCTGAAGTATGTGTGATGAAGCTTCGCCATCTTTACTTCCAAGGAGAATTCTTGCTGCACCTTCTCCAAGACATATCTCTTTGTTCTTTTGGAAGTCGGTTCAGTCCTCTTCTTCAACACTATAACTCACAGGCGTAGATTCTTCTTCTGTCATCCTTATTCATTGTCCAGCTCTCAGATGCACATGATTGAAAAGACCATGACCAGAATCAGGCGCATCTTAGTCTTAAAATGAACAGCCTTGCTCTTCAGTACCTCGGGCTGCCAATCCACAAGGTCTGAGAGCAAAAGATGCATAGTCTCTGCTATAAAGCTTTAAAGCCTAGGAAACCTGGTGGGGATTCGCTATGAGTTGGAATCGATACCCTGAGAGTGGGTTTATATATACATAGGAATCACCCAAGGATCTTATTAAAACATAGATTCTGATTTCATATATCTGAAGTGGAAATACAAATTCTCAGCAGGAGTTTGAACAGAGATGAACCAATTCCAAGTCTTGATCTGAGGATCTGAGCTGAAAGATCTGAGAGTGGAACAGCATACAGATTAGAAGGCATACATGACAGTACGCCAGTATCATAATGCAAAAGACACAGAGTTAGTTTCTAATAACAATACCTTCCAAATGCCACTTAGCCCAGCCAATCCTCAACAGACTGGAAGCAGCCAAGAAAACATATAATGCTGGCTCTTCAGAAAGTATCCTTGGTGACTAATTGAAAGGTGGGTGGTTGGAGCCCACCACCTTCTCTTGGGGGAGCATGGAGGAAGACCTGTGACCTGTTTTCCCCAAAATTGTTGCTGTGTGTCGTTGAGTTGATTCTAACTCATTGTGACCCTAGAGAAGAGAGTAGAATTCTGCCCACAGAATTTCCAAGGCAGAGCATTCACGTATTATGCTTTAGTAAAAGGGAAGTAGTTTGAATTCAGTCACTCTTCAGGAGAAAGATGGACAGTCTTCTTCATAAAGATTTACAACCTTAGAAAGTGACAGAGGGATGAGTCGGAATCCACCCAATCACAGTGTGTTTGGTTCAGTTTAATCATTGTGGAAATAGACTGTCAAGTCTTTCTTCTGAGGAGCAACTTTTGGTTAGCAGAATAAGAAACCACTGCGCCAACAAGCATCCTTGTGTTATGCTCACAGGCTGCCAAAACAGAATAAAAAAAATAAAAATAAATTTCACAAAAAACCCCAAGGAGTCCCTGGGTGGTGCCCATGGTTAATGCACACAGCTGCTTTCTGAAAGCTTGGAGACTTTATTTCACTCAGAGGTGCCTCCCTTGAAAGGCCTAGTTATCTCCTTCTGAAAAATCAGCCACCAAGCACCCTATGAAGTTCAGTTCTACTTTGACACAGGCAGAGTTCCCATAAGCAGGCATCTACCTGATGGCAACTGGCTGGGGCTGGACTAAAAGTACTCTGTGGGTTAGTTGTTCTTGTTATGTGTCATCAGGTCGGTTCCCACTCGTAGCCAACCCTCCAGCAGATTTTCAGGGCTGTTACTCTCACAGGAGGAGATTGTCTTTCTCCCATGAAGGAGCGAGTGGATTTGAACTGCCTGTCTTTGGCTTGGCAGTTTCCTACCACTAGGCTGCCAGAGTTCCCTGTGGATTGTTTACAATGGATCAACTGGCAAATTACAAAGAGGAGTGAAAAATGAGCAAGGCCGCTTGACTGGAGGGTCTATTTTAGGAGGAAAACCGGAAAAATCATTGGACTTTAGAAAGTGTGACTAATGTTACTGGTGATATTTCAGTAGAAACCACTTCAAATAGGTCTTGAGTATTACTGGAAACTTTATTTCCCATGTGACTTCAAGAGTCTTCTTTAAGGCGCACGTTTTGGGGTCTATAATTAACATGCATCCACATCCAGGCACTCCCATTCCAGGTCCCTGGTGGTGGCATGTTGAATCACTCTCGGAAAGGTCGGTGACTGAAATCCATCTCTTCTCCTCTGCAGGAGAAGAGGAGGCAGCCTGTTCTGTTTAAGAGTTAAGGTCTAGGAAATCCAACACAGGGTCACCACGGCCGAATCAAGGCCGGTGAGTTTTAAGCTTAGCATTGCTATTCAGTGAACAAATTCTGAAATCAGACCAGGTTTAACAATCTTAATCTCTCCCATTTCCTTGGGCAAGTGACTTAATCTCTAAATCGCAGTTTCCTCATTTGGAAAACGGAGATAACGCTATCTCAAGTACACTAGTTAATGTATAAAGAAGCGCACATGTCGATGTCACACGGAAGGCTTAGAAAATGGCAGGTATTATTTATTTCACAGTCTGTTCCACTTCTAGCTGCTCTAAGACATGAATGACAGACGCAGCATGGATGGCAACACACTACTCTTTTTGTATTTGCTTACTCATCAAGGGACTGTGACTCTCCCCTCCCCATTTGTAGATTGTCATCCACGAGACCCATGAACAGATCAAATCTAAAAACCTCCCCAGTTTAAGAATCTGGACTGTTGAACTGGACTGCTGAAAATAAAGGCATGACAATTGCCCTTCGGTCCGCGTGCTCTCCTGCCAGTCCACTGTCCCCTTGAATAGGTGCTTTCCACTCTGGTGCCACTTGGTAAACTTTGCACTCCCTGGGATTCTCCCTTGCTCTTTCCGGCCACACGAGGGGAGCGCTCAGCGTGCCCTGCGGGCTTCCCGAATCTCTGAGCCCAGCCCGGGCTGGACACCCCCGGCTCGGCTTTGCTGGCGCTCTCACGGGTCAGGCACCTGGAGGACGCCTCCAAGCCCGCAGGGCGCCACGCCCGCCGCGCCCCCGGCGCCCGGATAAGAGGCGCGCGCCAGGCGGCGGGGCGCCAGCTGCGGCCGAACCGTGCGCACCTGCTTTGCGCGCAGCGCACCGGCTACCGCGCGGCCATGGAGGCACCGCGGGCCATCGGCACCTTCGTGGTGTGGGACTACCTGGTGTTCGCGGCCATGCTGCTCATCTCGGCTGTCATCGGCATCTACTACGCCTTCGCGGGGGGTGGCCAGAAGACCTCCAAGGACTTCCTGATGGGGGGCCGCAGCATGACAGCTGTGCCCGTGGCGCTGTCCCTCACTGCCAGCTTCATGTCCGCGGTCACCGTCCTGGGCACCCCCTCCGAGGTCTACCGATTTGGGGCCATATTCACCATCTTTGCCTTCACCTATTTCTTGGTGGTGGTCATCAGCGCCGAGGTCTTCCTCCCGGTCTTCTACAAGCTGGGGATCACCAGCACCTATGAGGTGAGGGGTGAGGGGGACTAAGGGGCGAGGGGGACCTGCAGGCTCTCAGGGGCGTTTCCCCCCTTAGGTCTCGGTCAAAAGCCTCTCTCTGCTCAGGTTCTGCCAGGCGCCTCCCTCCCGTGTTGGGAAGAGGAGGCTTAGAAAGTTTGGAATTTAACTTTTAAAAGTTAACAACAACAAAAAAAAGTTAACAAAATAGAAGTAGAGGGGGTGTGCAGAAAATAAATCAAGTGGATTGGAGTAGTTAATACTAACCGAAGCTTTTTCTATTTCCTACATCTTTAATTCAGAGTCAAAGGGAGAGATGTTAAAATTTTATTTGACAAGTGGAGTGCTTGGGTCCTAACTGAAAGGGCATTAGGAATCCAGCAGCTTCACAAGAAAGACCTGAGGATTCCACCCCCTCCCCAACCTACCACCCCCAAGGGTTTCAGCCTAGAACATTGTCTGAGGCTTCTCTTCTCTTCTCTTCTCTTCTCTTCTCTTCTCTTCTCTTCTCTTCTCTTCTCTTCTCTTCTCTTCTCTTTCTCTTCTCTTTCTCTTCTCTTTCTCTTCTCTTTCTCTTCTTTCTCTTCTCTTCTCTTCTCTTCTCTTTCTCGTCTCTTTCTCTTCTCCTCTTCTCTGTCACAGAGACAGACAGACAGAGACAGAGAGAGACACACACACACACACAGAGAGAGAGAGAGACTGTCCCCCTCTATGAAATGAATTCCCTTGTTCTGGGCCCTCACACATCATTAGGTCTTTCCGGAGAGGTGAAGAATTTGCACCTTTTGCCGCCCCCCTCCCATCTTCCAAGGCTGGCAATCCTGTTGGTTAAGAGCTGTGTCCTTGGCCCCAGTGCCTACATTTGAGACTGGATTGGGTCACCTACAAGCTGGGTGATCTTATTTAACATCCTGTGCCTGTTTGCTCATCTCAAATGGAAATAATAATACCTCCTCCCTCGGTTCTTGGGACGATTAGATAAAATGATGCACGGGCAGCATTTAGAACAGTGCCTGACACTGAGTCGGTGCCTGGTAAACTTTGACTACCCTTCCTGTGGGACGCTCTGGTGGTATGAACAGCAGGGATTTAACTGCTGACCCCCAAGCATTGCCTCTCTGATGATTTGGCCCCAGCAGTGGCTCTGAGGGACCTAGAAGAGTCTCCTGTGGTGCAATTTACAACCTTTGTAGCCCAGTAAACAGTCAGATAGGAGTAGATTGTCATGACTGCGTGTTGCTAGTTGCCTGACTAATCCTTCCATAGAAAGACGGGCCACTAAGGAAAACTGCATTGACTTCGCCTACAGGGTAGGTCCACTGGTTATAGATTTTCCTCAAGCTGTTTGCAAGAAAGGGCTTTTGCAAAGATGGTGTATGTTTGGCTAAGTTGAAAGGACTGGTGAATGCGAAGATATGGGCTTGGAGGAGTGGTGGGGCTCCTGTCAGTGGCCCCAGTGATTGACTTCACCCTCTGCTGTTGGCTGAGTCCAGGAACACACCAGCTGGAGTTACCTCAGTGATGGGCATTACTTCACACTCATCACCTCTTTCTCAGCAGCCAGCTTCCCTTCTATGTAGTGTTTGTTCCAGTCCAAAGCCGAGGGAAGGCGTTTTCCTAGTGAGGCTGGTTTAGCTGGTGCAGAGGACAGAGTGCTAGGGACACATGGACAGACGACAAACTCTACCTGAGCTCTAGTAACATCATCCAGGTGAGGCGTCCCTGGGGCACTGCTGCCTCCCACTTTCCCCTTCACTGTGTTTGGGAGAGCAAGGAATGAGCAGGATTGCACTTCACTGTTTTGCTCGGAGGTTGGACAAGCTCTGTGCTGCTCTGTGTTGCTCTGTGTTGCTCTGTGTTACTCTGTGTGAGAAAGATAGGTGCGCCAGGCCAAACTCATGCCTAGCTCATGTTTTTTTGCTTTTATTTTGAGGGACATACAGAGTTTTGTGGAGGGAATTTAATATACATTTAAACAATTATGAGAAAAACAAACAACAGAAAAGCGCCTGTTGTTTCTGACATTTACCAATACTGTGCCCAGAGCAGAACAGCCCCACGGGATTTTCCAGGCGCTACATCTTTACAGAAACAGGTGGTCTCATTTTTCTGCTGCAGAATGGCTGCTGGGTTCCCTGGCTTTCCGTTAGCATCTGCACATTTAACAACTGTGACACTAGAGAATCTTACATGGAGAAAAAAATCAGATGAAATTTCCAGGTTCTGGAAACTTAAACAATGAGAAAAGTGGAAATCCTTAGCCTAACTTTCTCCTCATTGTCACAGTTCACCACCATTGCCCTCGTTGGCTGGTAATTTCCATATCCAGGCCTGGATAGCTTTTGAATGGCTACTTTCTTACTATAGGGAGCTCTGATGGCCTAGTGGCAAAAAGCTGCACTGCAATTCTGAAGGTTGAGGGAGAAGGATGGGCAGTCTCCTCAACTGCCTTTGAAAACCTGTGAGAGGGTCAGCGATGGGTTGGTTCCAACTCTTCCGTACACAGCAACAAACAACAAACTGTCTTATGATGGAGAAATCTTTATCTACCATTATGTCTTTATTGAAAAATGAGAAAGGGAAAATGGACATGGGTGAAGGGACTTTTTTTTTCTCCAAGGGAAATGGGAAACTTCATTTCTTAGCGGGCGTGAAGAAAATCCCAATATATTGATACATGTATGTTGATACCCCCCAAGAAGTATCATGCTTGAAGTTAACCTGATGCAACCTGTGGCATTTGAGTGTGTGAACTCTGATCTGTAGTTAACCAACTGAAGAGTCTGGCAAGTGGCCACCAGTCTTGGCACACGAATACTGCTCTCTTAGTCACTGATCTATGTCTCTTCTGGGCTGCGGCATCAACTCAACCAGAGACAAATTTCTGACACATCTCCAGTGGTGATGGCTAAGTTAGCTGAAAATGCTGGGGGTGGTGGGGGCAGTATTTGTCCAATATTTATCCAGTGTTTAGTTTAAGCTGGCTAGTAGGTTGCACATTTTATGTACATTGTGTGATGCAAAAGGAGCCCCTGGCCTTGGATAGTTCAGAGACTTAAGGGAGCTCTGGTGGCCTCGTGGTGAGAAGCTGCAGTGCAATCCCAAAGGCACGAAGTTTAAATCCACCAAGTGCTCTGTGGGAGAAAGATAGGTAATCTTCCCACCGTGTGATTAACTACCTGTGGAAACCTGCTGATGGGTCAGCTCTGGGTTGGTTCTGACTTGACGATATACAACAACAACAACAACCAGCTGAAAGGTTAGCAGTTCAAACCACCCAGAGGTGCATCAGATGAAAACCTTAGGAATCTGCCTCTGAAATGGTCATAGCCACAAACCCCCACATCCACTCAGTCAGTACACAGGGGTTTGCCGTGAGCGAAAATGACTCAAGAATAAAGTGTTAAGAAGTTTCACTGCACATCCAAAGGCTCACCATTTGAATCCACCAGCTGCTCCATAGGAGAAAGATGGGCAATCTCCTCCTGTGTGATTTACAGCCTCTGAAAACCCACTGGAGGGTCAGTTCTGAGTGGGTTCCAACTTGTCAGCACACAACAACAACACTGAGGTAAAAAAGAGGAAAATCATAAAGACTTAGAAAATACTAAAACAACAGCAATGAAGAAAATGATTTAAAAAGCCATTAAAAAGTGAATGCAGCATAGAAGTAGATGGATACTTAACTGGCAGGAGAGATACCAGGATCACGAAGGTGGTTTTCCCAGGGTGAGGCAGAACCATTGCCCTCCAGATGTTCTGCCCCTACAATACCCCCAAATGTTGGAAACGTGACTGCATGATTTGTAGTACTTATGGGACTGTGTTTGTCCTCTCCTCTGCTGAGAGAAAAGGGGGGGGGACACCAAAAAATGTAGATGGAACAAAGAAATCAGCAGTGTCACAAAAAGAGTGTTGTAGGAGACATGGCAAGGCATGTATACATCTAGAAGGCATTACACTAAATAAGACTACTACTAGACAAAGCTAAAAGAGGTTTATACACAGAATTCATGTTGGTTGGTTATGAGAGACGGAAAGGAAGGGAGAGGAGAATAAAAACTAAAATAGAAAAATGGAGTGAGGTGCAAGATAATAGATGCTGTACTGATTGTTGCTGTTAAGTTTCTTGAGTCATAGGTGACTCATATGACTCATAACAACCCTATGAATGAAAGACCTGAACACTTGTAACTTTCATCCTTTCTCCAGATTCATAGGGTTTCCAGAGGCAAACTATTATGGAAGTGAAGGTCACTCCTACTTTCAGGCTTGTTTTAATCGGGGAACTCCACCAAACACTGTCCGCCATGGGTAACCATTAACACATTTGACACATCTGTGTCACAGTGTTCGGCTTCACAGCAACCACGAGGTACCTCTGTACAGCAAGTGGACAGACCAGGGCTATACGACCTAGAAGAATGTTTGACCAAAAACCAATTAAAAACAGGCCTGGGGGCCACAGGTTAGTCACCCACCTTTGGATTGGTAGCATCACTTACTGTCCACTAGGCCAACTGATCTCTATGCTGTTGTTGTTAAGTGCCGTTGAGTTGTAGGCGACTCATAGCGACCCTATGCACGAAAGACCTGAACATTGTATAACTCATCCTTTTTCCAGGTTCATAGGGTTCTGGAGGCAAGCTATTTCAGAAGTGGATGCCATTCCTGTTTCCAAGCTTGTTTTAATCAACTGTCCACATTGAGTAACCATCATCTCATTTGATACATCAGTGCCACAGTGCTTAGCCAGTGTAATAAATTCTGTTGATCTATTGTAATTAATGTTATAAAAATGTGTATGAATGAAGAGATAATTACAATGTTATGAAAATATGTATGATCAAATGCAAAGCCAGTTTGATGTGTAAACTTTCAAAGAAGAATAAAGCCATTAGTAAAAAGAAGTAAATTAGAAAAAGAATAAAAGAAATCCAGAAAAAGGAAAGGAAATAAAGTTTGTGAGATGAATTCTCACCATTCTTGCTTCTAAGGAGAAAAAGAGATGA